TGATGAATTCCTGCATGCGATTTTAACTTTGTCAAAACAGTCACTCTAGTGTGTATGTGCTGCTGAAGTGACCGAATACTTCTCTTTTCTTAATTTTAAAGAAATAACAGAATTCATTTTACACTGGTACCTACTAAATAAAAAGCAGTTGATGATATAAGAACAGAAATTGTGCAGTTTGGTAGATTATAATTTCATCATAGAATAAATTTATTTTGATCAAAGCAGACAGCGATACAGTATTATTTACTGATAACATTTGGAGCAACATTTCATGCTCATAATCATATCTAGGTACTCACTTTAAGTTCATGATGCTTACAGTTAAATAGGATTTGAATCCGTAATCCAGTAGTTGACAGTCATGTGTTAAAATCAGTGTTCCACAACTTAGAATTTACCCGGTGAAGACTTTTAAACAAAACTAATCAGGTTTATGATTAATTTCCACCTCGTGTTTCAAATTTACTGAGTTTAAGCAGAATATACGTGTATATGATATGAAAGCTAAATCAGACAAATTTTAATTTACACTGAATAATTAATAAAAACGTCTTAGCTAAGAAAAAAACTATTTATGCTGTAGGTGGTAGTCACATGTAGACAAATTTTTCCTGAAATTACTGACAGGATCAAAATGAAAGGAAACTTGTGTTTGGTATGAACGTCATCGTACTTTGTATTCACTTTTTCTTTTTTTTTAGGAAAAAAAATTTCACGGAAATAATTTATCAGTGATACTCTAAAATATAAAGATTTCTCTGTATAACAGAAGTCGTTAATCTTTTAAGGCAAATATATGCATGCATAGTTCTGAGTAGTCTGTACTTTGCTGTTAGACAAGCAAACATCATGATATGCAACTAAAACCCATGGAAATAAGTACACAGTCGACTGAAGAGTTTCTTTTCGACAAATCAATTCACTGAGCTGGACAATTTCAAATATGCAGAATTATTTCTGTATGTATGTGCATTCAGTGTGTCAAAAAAAGCGAAAGAGAAAAAAATACATTACCTTAGGATATCGTCTACATCAAAATATTGCAAAACAGTGAAGATTATTAAGCTTAGACTAAAAGTTGTCTCAGGCAAGAAAATGTCTCGAAAAATTGAGTGTGAATAAAACAGCATTGGGGCAAGGATCAAAGAAAACAATGTCGATAGTTGTTGTGCCGAAAAAATGAATGGAAAGAAATAATAGCAGGGTAGTGGATTTATTTCAAGGTTAGAAGAAGTGATCAGAGACGGTTCTCCTATGTGCATAAATCACAATTTATCAATATAAGTGCTTGAAAGCCACATGAATGAAAATATACGAAAATGACGTCTTCGAGGAATCCTTTAGACTTTTGTTAGATAACTCTGAATAAATTTACCTTGGATATTGAATGATCAGTGTTGAATATATATTTAGTTATGGCACTCCGTATTAACCCATTGTAACTATTTTATCAACATACGGGGTGATGTTCTAATGTGTGTAAAATTGTTCACTGTGGTAGCATGTAAATCCATGTTAATTTGATTACTGGGTACGTCAAACAATGAAATGTATTGGATGATGTTTCAAACACAATTTGTCTTTCATAATCTTATCACTTCTAACCATATAAATTCGAAACCTGATTTCTATACAGTTTATTTTCTTTCTTTCTGTATGTTGTAGGGATACTACAATTTTCTAGATGTCCAGGATAGGTGCTAAATCGTTCCTGTTGCGTTTGTTTTCACTTAATTCGTTAAATAAACCTTCACTTATAAATTTCTTCCACTATCCTGTTATATTGAATTTTAAGGCTGTCAGGTTGTCGCATCCTATTGTATGGTTATATGTAACTGCATATTGGTGATATAGCTGAGCTTATTTATAGATTTCTTATAATTATCAGGGTTAACTAATGTATATTTTGCAAGGTTTTCATCCCCCATTAATCTAAATAACCCCATCCTAATAAATTGGTCAATGAATTTGACCAAACAATCATTTTAGTGTACTGGATGAAACTAGATTATCTTGTTTATTGGGCCTTATAGAATACTTCAGCCGGTACAATATACTTAATAATAAATAATAATAATTTGCTTTATTCCAGAAACAGTACTAGTGGTACAATGTGGAATTTTCAGCACATATCTACAATATTTGCATCTAATTTTAAATAAAGGAGTATTTCAAAAAAATAAATATAAAGACAACAACATCAAAAAAACACAAAAATAATAAAAAAGCGAAAAAATACCAAGAAGTAGAAAGGAAAATAAACAACATAAAATAATATCTCAGTATTGGGTAGTGGAAGCTATGATATGATTATGCATGGTGACAGTAAAGCTGTAGTCATACAAGAAGTTATGAAATGATATTTAAGAATGTTTATCGCCAAGATGATCAGTTAATTTGATTGAACAACACTAAACAATCATAAAATAACATTTCAGGGTTGTTGTTTTGTTTTTATTGTCAGGTCTTATGCAGTGTTTGTAGTGGTAGTGTGAGTAATCCTGCATAATACAAAATTTTAAGATGGTGATAATGGCGTTCACAACCAATGATTGTCAGTTAATATTGCCGAACAAAAAGAACAACAACAACCACAGTAACTAATAATTACATGATGGTTAATGACAGGACAATTTTGTAATACTCATAGTGCTAATATAGTTGGAACAGTAGATACACAAAAGAAGGAATAGAGTAAAGTACAAAAAAGGAAGCCAATGTTAATAATTTAGGTAGCTAAGTATGTTTAAGAAGGAGTTCACTATAGAATGCAAAATAAGAGAGAAATAAAAGAGCCTAAAATTATGTTGTTAACAACAAAGCAAGTCATAGGTTTCGCGCTTAACATTGTCTCTGTCACTTAGAACACTGGCCAAATATGGTATCGTTGAGTTCCTGTACTTGGTTGTACGAGCATAAATTATTTTATACTGATTTCTGGTTCTACTTGAACCAGAGTATGAAGTATGGAGAGTATGAGTATGGAGATTTCACTGCGACTTCTATTCTTGTTTTGTTTAAGAATTCTATGTAAGGTTTCAGAACTTACTAGTTTAGATGGAAACAATACTACTATTAAAAATTCCCTATCATTGGTGTTACCATATTTCTGTGTATGTTTGTCATTCCTTTGTGATCCTAGTGGAACATAAGGCTTCAAACTTCAGTTTTATCGTTTCAGTAACAGTGTGTTGTTTTATTTCTGTGGAGTGGGTTCGGCCAGCCCCACACCCAAACTTCCCTTGTCACCAGGCTTAACAGTGGCTAAAAGAGGATTGGGAGTGTTTCAGCTGGAGATCGAACCTCGAAACACAAGTTCAGCTGGTGAGCATTCTACAAGCCCATCACCGAACCACTACCTAAATTTAAAATGTGCAACTAAAATCGAATGACATTCAAATATTTTGGATCTCATGTCCATGAACAAATTTTCCAGAACTTTAAAATAATAACAGTTGGCTTAAGAAGTCTGTATAATTTATGAAGCGAAACTAAAACTAACTTATTTCTCTTCTTGCAGAGTATATTCAAAAAATTTGAAGCACTTTTACACTTTGATTTTTACTCTAAACCTATTACAATCTCCATGACAAAAAATTAAGTTTTCGTAATTACGAATAATTCCTTGATCATAACTTGATTCAAATAGGACATCACCACATGATTAGTGAAAAAACCGAATGATTGAAATCTCGACAATTCTAGCAGCCACCTGCTTCAAGGATGCACTGATATATGTCACAGATTTTAATTACACCCACTGCTGTGAACTTCGCAATAAACTGTCTTTGCAGCCGCCTAAAAAATTGCTTCCTCTATAAGCATTTAATTTAATTGATTATAGAATTAAATTAGGTGATATAACTGAAAGGACATTATTTATAATCATGTTCTAATGCTTCACTGGTCCACTAGTAGAATGCTGATCTGCCACGTGGAAGTAGGAGGTGTCAGGTCCAGCCCACAGGCCGAAACACTCGTCAACCTCGCTTACCTCATTAGTCGACAGTAAGCGCAGAAAAGACGGATGTTCAAGCGTGATGCTAGTAATCCCACATCATAAAACAGTTTAATCACAACTGAAACTTCAAAACAGAGGTCCCATATTCTACTCAAAACGCTAAAAGATAAAAAAATGTTCCAAAGCACTTTTTAAATAACAGCTACATTACTGCGTGATATCTCTCTAATTCTAGAATCTGTTTACAAAACTAATAGTGAACACTATGCATTGGCTTAATTGATAATTGTGTTATTCTGATTATTCGTTTTAAACCACCGTGAAAATTAATTTTATCGAAAAATATTTTAGGCTAATTCATCAGATACCCTTGTGACTGGAAAGAGAACAACTGTAGAGATTTCTTTTTTATTTTATTCTATTTATCACCATGATTGTAGCACAAATAAACACAACTCAAGGTGTTTGTTGTTGTGAGACATCAACGGTCGATCATTAGTCTTCGAAATTGTGAGGAAATGTCAGCGGCAGAAATTTCCCAGTTTTCTCGATGAAAAAAAACCTCAGTCCTGTAGTTGGGTATTTCACTGTCATGTTACTTATTCTGCAGACTTGCTAGTGTGCACTGTTGATCGAAGTCCTTCGAATCGTTGGGGAGATATGTTTGCTTTGCTTTCGGTTTTTGCTATTAAATGACGAAAAGTCACATAGCAAATGGAAAAACTTTATTACCACTGTCCACCTTATGTTTTTATGATGAATCATTATACCAGTTGAAAAACATCCTGGTAATGCCGTCTGCAGGTGGGATAATCAGATCCTGGAATAAGTCCAATAAATTACTACGTTTTATTACATATCAGTGAGGATGTATCAAAACCTGTTTTTGTTAAGAGGTTCTTCTGTATCGTCTTTACACGTTCTACTGAAAACTGATGAGAGACCCAGAAAGCAATGTTATAATCCTAGAAATGTCTCTTCAAAACCTTTTTTTCTTTTGGTAATTTGTGTCTCTAATCTTATTATTCCTTTTCAGGAGAATGCATTAAATTCTCGAAATCGTATGCAAGTACTAACTACTCTCATGAAGGAGTATAATGCCCATTCCCTATTAGGTCAGTCTATGCAATCCAAGTTATCACTATGCAAATTGGCCTGTTTGTTCAATCCATTCCGTGATGCTCAGACAGATAAAGTGGTGTCTCCAGTGCATCATCATAATTTGACGGAGGATGAAATACATTCTGATGAAGTGGGCTCTCCAAAAAGAGAAGCAGTAGGTTTCAAATATTTTAGTGCAGAATGTGATATATATATATATTGCGTTACATTTAGCTTCTAACAAACGAAATCAGGTTGATTTTTTGGTTACAGGATTTCATCATGAGCTGACATTGGTTAGAGAACCATTAGTGGTACTGATAAGTAGCACACCGGTTGACAGGACCTTCTGGTTACAAGGCGAGCTCACTGGTGACTGGCCTATTCATGAGTTACCTGGGTTCCAGTGAAGTCGTGACAGTAGGTGCAGCAGTCGGTGTAGACAAACTCCCAAGACATTGGCTAGGGTTGCGCTATATCGTGAATTGACAGAAGTTAGAATTCATGGCTCATGGGATTGGGTCCCAGTGGCTTCATGGTATGCAGCTTGCCTTGTAACCAGAAGGTCCTGGGTTGGAACCCGGTGGTGTACTCTAAGAGTCCCAAACTGGACGAAACGCTGGAACTAGGGAGTACAAAAGTTGTGAATGAATTCACATGCTTCCATTTACCAGCATACAGTTAAGGAGTTTATGTTGAAGCGTTACTTGCTGTAATCATCATATTAAAAACCAAACTATTAGGATACGTTATAGATAAACACAGTTGCCGAAATACAATGTCAGTATCATGAGGGTCACTCACCAACTTTTTATCTTCAAATAGAAGAAGAATTTACTTTTTTGAAATTAAACTTCACTGCATACAAGTTAACTGGACATATAATCTATCCGGCGCTCAATTCATGTCAGGATAAAACTCAGAAGTACCTGCATGTTCGTTACTCCCCAGTTATTTTCCATCCTGAGTGATTCCATGATAAAATTTAAACTGATATAAGAGATATTTTTGATAATAATGACAGAAAACAGGATCTTAATCCACTGATGTAGTTCATTTTCCCTAAGTTTAAAAGAAGCTTTATGGATTTAAGATACTGTCACACTGTAAAAAAATAGGTTGGTCATGTCAGAATTGTATTGTAGATAATTTTATAGAATCTCACGTTAATTTCATATATTTTATTTTATCTGACTACTTTACGAACACCTTTTCAAAGAATAAAGTATCGGAAACAAAAGACGGTTCAATTCCTGAACAAACAATCTCCGATCAGTCATCACCAGCAAAATCTGTTACATTTCAGGAGCATAAACACCCCACAGATCAAGAATCTTATGGAAGTCTTAAAAATAGAGCAAAAATAAAAGCCAATCGAATCACAGGATTGAGTACAAATTTCATTACAGAAATTCTTTTTGCATTGTACCCAGTTCTTTTCACACAACAATCAAATGTAGCTTATGAAGCAGTTAAATCAATTGAAGTCAGAGCAACCTATGAACTATGGACAAATGTAAGTAAAGCTCACCAATTACTTACTTAACTATTTGGCTAATACATTCATATGAAATTAAGAGTTTATTCATCGTACATTTATTTCTAATTAAAAATAAGATGTAGTATACCAATAAATGCACTCACGTGAAATATCTACCCAACTAATAAAGATAATTTACTGTGATTAGATGCTGATAAAAGGGTATACATGGGGTAGAATTTAGGGAGTTTCATCACCTTGTTACTGCTTTCAGGACAGAATAGAATCATTAGATTTGTTAGATTATGACTGATTGGAATCATGCAACTACATTCAACAACTAAAGCTGCTTTAATGTTACCACTCCTTAAAGTGTGATTTACCTGTTTTATTATTCATTATTGTATTCATTTATGAATTTTCCACCTGTTCTATCATTGAGAAAAAAGTAAAACATCCTGTAGTATAATACAGTCGGAAAAATTGGATGTAAATGTCATTCTAGAATATACTAGTCTTTGAAAATCGTTTGTCTATCATTATTTATTCTTACGTTCCCAGTGGAACATAGGGCTTCAGCTAAGCTTGAAGTTGTAGATGTTATTTTAGGGTGCTACTTCACCTTCTTTACCAGTTATTCTGGCTTAGCGATGTAAAGAGTGCTCCGGCCGGTATCGAACCCGGACCATGTGCATGGTCGGCGAGCGTCCTAACCACTACCACCACGCACATGTCTATTTATCTTCAATTCATGTTGTTTGTTATAGAATTATGACAATAGAATAACATGTCAGGTGAATATGAACATAATGGCTGAAGGAAAACATGTTTAAGCTGTATGAAAAGCAATGTCAGAAACAAAATGGTTTCTGGTCATATTTTTATAATAATTATCGTTTTAGAAATATTCATTTAAACTCTTTCATAGATATACTAAGTTCCGTTTGATTAGTGTTCTTTTACGCATCAGTTTTATCAGTACTTTGTGTGATACTCACTACATGTGTACTACTGAACAGTAGAGCTATGTAATGTGTGGATAGCTTAATTTCATTTAACTGTAATAGCACGTTTGACTTATATTTCAGGTTTTGTTGTTAGTTGATTCAATGAAACAAGATTATGAGCGTTCCAAATTGCCTGCTTCAAAATCATTTAAACACTACAATCAAGTGGTGAATGAACAAGAAGAAACGAGTAAGAGTATATTCAATGAAATGCCAAATGACGAAAACAAATTGGATTCTGAACAGTTATGCTTAGCTAGTGCTTATTGTGGTCTTTGGTCTGGACTCCTATGCAAGCGGTCAGATATGTCACAAGAAGAAACTCTTCAAGATCTGCCTGAATTTGAAGATTTATCCGGCAAACGACTGCATTATGTTCGACTGGCTCAAGCTAAATTCAAACGACCGGTTGTTACGAACTCAAATTTTAGAATAGTAAAATTACCAGATGATATAACGCCTGAGACGTCGACAGACACTAGTTCTACACGACATAATACTATGAAAGACGTCATTTCATCGAATGGGAAGATAAACTTAGAAAAGGATTGGAAAGGATCTCTAGATGACTTGGTGGTTTCTAATGAATCAACTGCTTCTTCACTTTTATTCTCTCGTGAATGGTTTAAGAAAACTCTGTGGAAAGATAGACAGCCTGAAAAATCATGAGCTGGTTACTTTATATTCTTCCATCATTCCAAAGAAAAGATATATTTTTTTGTAAACGACAATCATTACTATCTTATAGATAGATAACATTTATACAGCAAAGAATATTCAATATGTAAATTGTACTTCAGCATTTACAAAAGCATTTTTTTATGAAAATAACACATAAAATATAATTTCAAAAACGCCTTTTACTGAGTCTCTATTCACAGTTCCCTTTTATACAAAAAAACACTAGTATGCCTAACTGTGTAGTAAATAATTTACCTTGTTAGATCGAGTTTGTTTACCATGATTCAGTCCTCACATTGTACTTTTGTAAAGGGTGAAAGTGATTCAAGCTTATAAAGATTTAAAGGAGACTGGAATTTAACCGTGCTAATTTATCGTCTCTTGTAATGAAGACTGAAGTTGCATGCAATACATTGTCTCCATTCAATACTATACAATGTCTTCAAAATACAAAATATTATCACGGTGAAAACATTTCCGTTACAAGGGATCGCAACTGTTTCTTTTCTGTGATAATTTTTCCTAATACATGCTATTAACATACAACATTTAAAAAAGGTTAGCGATGGATATAATTGAAAATGTTTAGACATATCTGAATATAATGCATACCAGAGAAGTTGAATATTCATAAGTCTCTACAGTGATCACAGTGATATAGATCTCATACCTGATAAGCTTGAGTTGCGTGACGCTATAGTAAATGCTGAACAAAGTACTAGAAAGAAAGAACAAGTAGTTTAGCGAAGATTCGTTTATCGAAAGTTAACATATACAGCTGCACAGTTTCATCCATATACCATTTTTGGGGACAGAATCACAATGTATAGATAAGAGTAGTTACCTGTTGGTGACAGCAAACGGACACTTTTAATTGAAGAAAAATCAAAATATAAAGAATACTAGTTGGTTATTTAATTGACTGGGGGATTTCTTCAAGAGCTGACATCAGTTGGAGAACCATTGGAAAGCCAGCTTGGAGTACTGGACAGGTGTTTCGTTTTCGTTTGGGACTCTTCGTCAGTACGCACTCACCAATACTTGAAAATCAATCTGATGCTCACTAACTACTGGTCCTATTCAGGCAGTTAACCTGGGGTTGTAATGGGAAGTCGAGATAAGTGGGGTGCAGCAGGCTGAAGGTGAGGCAGTAACTCATCGAAGAAGACATTTCAAAGTGGTCGCGCTATGTCATGAATTGGCAGAAGTTGGAATTCATGCACTGGCCATTGTATCGGATCCTAATGGCTTAATGGTCTACAAGCTTGCCTTGTAACCAGAAAGTCGTGGGTTCGAACCCTGGTGGTGGGTTCGTACTGATGAAGAGTCCCGAACTAGTGGAACGAGATAGCTGCCCAGTACCCCTTAGTGTTTTTCTAATGGTTCTCTAAACAACGTCAGATTATGATGAAGTCCTCTAACCAATCAAACAATATGCCTACAAGCCAATACTTGAAGATTATTTAATTCAACTTAGATTATCCCCTCGATTGCAGCAAGATCCAGATGACGAGTCCCAAATGGGACTCCTTAATCCCACTGCTAGTCACCATCAACCAATCGAATTGAAAATACTAGTTGGTTTTTAGGATTTACCATGTGAATAATTTCATTAATTTAGACAGTCTGTCCAGGTATGCACATAATGTTCAACATTTACACTGTTTTACACGTATTCAAATAATCATATTTTAACACTTGGTCTTTCTACGGTAAGCGAAAAGTCCGGTTTCCATTACCAGCCAAAACACTCTGAAACCCCGCCTAGTTTACTAACCAACAGTAATCTCGGATAATATGGAAGGTTGGGCGTAAGGCAAACATTTCCCAAGGCACAAAAAGGATACCAGCTCTAGTAAAACTTCAAAACTTGACGCCTCATGTTCTACTCGAAAAGCGAAGAGTTTGAAAAACAGCTGTAATAATAAAGTTGGCAGAACAAGACAATAAAATGAAATACTAGATTTTTAATAGGTTTCTATTTGAAACAGAAGAAAGAATACTTCCACTTCTTTAAAACAAAACTGGTCAGTTCCACTAAGACTTTTATAATACATTTATTACTTTGTGTCTATCAACTAGTGTTCATCTTCTAAAACTTACTCCTTCCTCTTCTAATTTCTATTTGATATATATTTATCGATTTCAAAAGTTGACGCGACTACATTTGCAAGTAAAACTTTGAACAAAATATTATAGACAAACTAAATAGTATGCTATTGCCTTGAAACATAAAGAGATACGCAAAATTTTTTTGAGTGCGCATCACTGATCTCCAGTGCCTGATCCCCAACAAGTTGCAAACTATTGAGTTGACTTCTATTTATGGACTGACTGTTTTTTCTTTGCTTCACTGTATTTTTAGTGAAACGGATATTTAAGATTGTAAATCTAACATTATTTCACCTGTACGCTGTATGGTTTTGAAATTCTCTTTCTAAACTATTCCACCGTAAAATAAACAAACAATGGAAAGTACATACACATTACAGGATGCATACAGTTTATAGATGGCGTCTTCACAGCACTGAATTTTTATTACTATTTGATCTAAGATTCTTCTATACTAGTTTAGGCGTCATCTTTAGTTCATGCTCAAAGGAAGTGAATCTTTTTAAGTACAGTGAATGACAGATTGACAGTCACTCGGTTTTATTCCAATCAAATGTTCCGTCAATGCAAATACGTCTTTTAATACTGCCTTGCTATAATAGCTCTGGATATTTGCTGAATGATATATTTATTTATAATATCACTCTAACTTTGATTGTTGCACAGTCTGTGTATGTCTTCAACTTTGTAATCAAGCTGAAATAAAGTTTTTACTGTTCCATATATGCAATAAATAGGCAAATAAAAACTCAAGTAACATCTAGACTCATAAACTAGTGTTTTTATGAAACTAACTACAAATAATATCTTGAAAGTTTAGTGATAGAATACTCATCAACCACACACGTGTTCTGTATTCGAGTCACGACTGATGCAGTCTTAAACCTCGTTTAGCCTGCGTTAAGCACGGCAAAGAAGGAAGGTTGGGTGTAAGGCAAGAAAACCATCACTACTGAAGCTTCAGTGCTTAAAGCTTGAATCCTTATGTTCATTTTAGAATGCAAAGAAATTGAAAAAGTATAAAAAGCAAACTGAAAACCTTTAAAGCACTCATGTATGTATAAGTATTGGTTTTCCAATGATTCTCTAAACGATGTCAGCTCATGATGAAATCCTGTAACCATTCAAGTATGTTTATACTGATGTGTCACTAAGGAGTAACTAATGGCATGCGTCTAGTCCTTGCTGTTCTTGCAAGCTGAATTCTATCAGTGAACTTTGCGACGTGGTCACAAAGCTAGATGGCTGACTATCGTCGTGCACTCTGAACTGATGCTAGGTAATTGAATAAAATTGGCAGGAAACCCTGAACCTAGCTGTTGTGATTGTTGCCACTTGTCAGCAGGACGAATCTGCAGCCTTGAAGGAAATCACGTCTCCTCTGAGATTCTAACTCTGACATCAATGCAGAGTGCTCCGCGACGGCGAACCCCTAGCGTTGTGACCATAATACAAACTTGACTGACATTAATTGACTGATAGAACTTAGTCGACACCAACACCAAGGACTAGATGTGTGCTCACTACTGATCAATCAATGTATCCACTTCAGTCTTACAGAAGATCAGTCATGAGCACAAATAGCTCAGCAGTAATGTCTTTGATTGCAGCACTTGGTGGTGCGGATAAGAGTCGCAAAGGAGGCTTCAATTCCTTCAAGGTTTCAAATACATCTTACTGATGATAGCAAGCATGCAAGAAATCTCGATTCAGCGTTTCTTCCTGATTGCCTCCAACCACCTAACATTCGTCTGTTTTAAAATGAAAATGCAATCCTAACCGCCAGCTGACAAGTTGTCATATAACTACTTTTGTAGGGGACTTTATAGCGAGCTCGGTAACAAAACTAGTATTTGAATAAAAATCCAAGTAAATGAACCGATAGTGTAAAAGTATATTATAAAAATATAGTAATGAGTAATATAAATTAATTGGTTACCTGATTATACAGTTAAAGTCCGTCGCTACAAACTTTTAATATAATCCACAATAGTGTTCACTGCTGGAGTCGTGTATACTAGTAGAAGCTGTGCACCGGTTGTAGAATAGTCTTCGGATGAGGATAAGAGGATCCTGCAAAATCCAAAGTACACAACACGGTTAGTAGTGAAACAAGCAGACAGTATAGACTAGTGAGTAGATGAAATCGCGAGCAGCACACTAAATTTTTTAGATTGTCCTCCACAGTTGTGTATATTTCAACATGAATCGTTTTGAACAAAAGTTGTGTATGGTGTTTCTAATTTCAACATCTAACAAAAACAATGTTCAATCGTATTGTTACAGACTCTGAACTTTAATGGGAAAGGGCAAATGGCATCAAACATTTATTTTACAGGTCAAACACCTAGAAATTCACTGCATCAACAAAGAAGTGATAAAAAGACTCAGCTTGAAAATGAAAAGTAGAATATCGACCTAACAGAGTCACATTTATTTCATGCCCAATGGAATAATTGTTTGATAAACTTTCTTTCCATCTCAGCATTTTGAATAATCTGATAGCATAAGTAATTATCCGAAAAAAATAAGTAAGAGTAAAAAGTTGGAAGATGTAATTAGTTCAAATAGGCATGAGGATCAATAAAGCAAAATCTCCAAAAATAGTATATCAGCCCTGTTCTCATAGGTGAAATAACCAAGTACGTTCTAACGTTATGCCTAAACTCGTCTGAATTTTTATCTTCCACTCCTGAAAGATATGTCATCAGTATTTTTACTATTACTCTGCGTACTTATTAGACAGAAGCTATGTCTGTTTATGTCCATTCCCTTTACTAATGTAGCTATCTACACAGAGTTTGTATAACTGTATGACTAACCTTAACTAATTGTTTCAGTTTCATGTGACGACTGGAGTTGTTTTAAAGTCAAATTGTTGGATACAGCTCACCACTTCTCCAATAATCACTGGAGGTGGAATCGCATTTAAACTACTAAAATACCTACTGAAAATTCTGATTAAACCACTGTGAGAAGTAAGAAAGTTTTAGAATTCTTCACTGTT